TGTTTGGACTGATAAGCTAAGCCTTTTCGCATCTTCTCCACCCTTGTGTGTCGCTCCCCCGTGCCACATAATTAGATACGCCTCACTGAATAGATACTTTACTGAAATATTGGGTCCCAGAAGGGAATAGGCCTGTGTATGGTCTGTCTAGCTGACACAGGGCAGATGTAGTGGAGGAGAACAGGCTCAGCATGGGGTGTAACCTAAAAAGAGCACATCTTTTTTTAAGTTGGCTCTTCAGCATAAAGGTGATCTTTATTAATCATTCACATGCTATATTTTGTTGTAGTGTCTGTCACTTTTGTGGTCTGAAAGCACAAAACAGAAAATTATTAGTGAAATATGTTTTTTTATTATTATTTTTTTTTTTTACATTAGTCTTTAAGAGTGGCCCGGTGAACCAGTGGTTAGCGCGTCGACTTCACAGTGCAAAGGTACCAGGTTCAGTTCCAGCTCCGGCCTTCCTGTGTGGAGTTTGCATGTTCTCCTCGTGCCTGTGTGGGTTTTCTCCGGGTACTCCAGTTTCCTCCCACATTCCAAAACATGCATGGCAGGTTAATGGAACACTGTGAATTGTCCCTAAGTGTGAGTGTTGATTTTTTTGTCTCTGTGTGCCCTGCAATTGGCTGGCAACCAGTTCAGGGTGTCACCCACCTACTGCCCAAGACATCTGGGATAGGCTCCAGCACGCCCCGCGACCCTTGTGAGGATAAAGCGGAGCAGAAATTGGATAGATGAATGGATGGATTAGTCTTAAAGAAATTAACATCGAAAATAAAAACTGCTCGAAGTGTACATGGACATCAAAAGTATATTTTTCAGTTTACAATTCAGATAAAACATGACCATAAGTGAGGGCCAAAAGTTTTCTTCTTTCATTACTATTTATCCATCCATCCATCCATCTATTCATCCATCCATCATCCATTTTCTGATCCGCTTTATCCTCACAAGGCCCGTGGGGGTGCTGGAGCCTATCCCAGCTGTCTTCTACTCCTTCCTACTCCTTTTGAGTAAATAAACTGTACTAGTCGGTTTCCTCCTCCAAAAGTGTGGTTCTGTGTGGCATTTGAGTTTCACCATGTTTGTTTACCTCTGTTTGTGTCACATGTAGGCAGTGTAGTGGATCCATTTGCAGCAAACTCGGGAGGCTGGATAAGATGAGATAAGAAAAGATAACCTTTATTTGTCCCACACTGGGGAAATTTGCAGTCTACAGCAGCAAAATTGTGTGTGTGCGGGGATGGGGGGGGGGAGACGACAAAGTGTTTCATTGCACAAAATAAATGTTTCAGAAAAGAACTGTACACAGTTCAATATAAGTGCAATATAAAATATAGCATTGGCAATATATTTGTAGAATACATATAATAAATTAGCAATAGCACAGAAAACACAGCATAAGGTGGCTGTGCTATTTACAATGGTTACTGGTTTTCACTCATGTTTATTCAGCAGCCTGACAGCAGTCGGTAGGAACGAGCGATGGTATCTCTCCTTCTCGCAGCGCAGGTGTAACAGTCTCTGGCTGAAGGAGCTACCCAGTGCTGTCAGGGCGGACTGGAGCGGGTGGGAGGGACTGTCCATCATAGCTTTTAGTTTAGCGAGCATCCTCCTGTTGCCCACCTCCTCCGGAGTGTCCAGGGAACAGCCCAGGACAGAACTCGTCCTCCTGACCAGTCGCTCCAGTCTCTTTCTGACAAGACACGGAGGATGTTGGTTCATTGCCGGACGTGCTGTATCCGGAGATGGTGAGAGTCGGGAGCCAAAAAAACAACAAAGAAACGGTGGTTGCATTGCAGGGATGCAGGGATGGATGTATTTATGGCACTCGTTCCCTGTGCTCATCCAACTCAAGATGCTTATTCGCTCTACTATACATGTATACTACATACGCTCTATATTCACTCCTATATGCACGCACTTTTGCATTTCTCTCTCCCTCACACGTGATCACTGCTGCTGCAAATGGATGATGAATATTCAGTAGAAGGGCAGTCTAGGAGAGTTTCAATGGTCCACCATGACGTGTTCGGTAATTTCACTGGACAGATGTGATGAGATCATGGTGAAATATATTGGCGGCTTGACGCTCGTTAGTAAAATTAACTGTGTCACATTAAAAGATGCAGTGTTCAAAGCATGAAAAATAAATGATTGTCCAGAAAGAACGATAGCTTCTAGGATCATTAGGATACACAAACCCTTGTCCCGTCCTACTCCCAGTGAAACCAGCTCCCACTCCTGTACCGTTTCCATTTTGGATGTCAGATACATTAAAAATGGCTATGCATCTGTCCAAGTTTTTTTTCCCCCCTACCAGATAATCCTGCTCCTGTTTGCACCCGTTAATTTTTTTATCCTGCACCATCCCACTCCCGGGATTAAAAGTAAAATTTACTCCTATCTTGTGGGAATCCTGCATGATTCCCGTGATCTGTGGGGTTTCCCAAAAAATGTCAACCTCTGTTACAGACACATTCAGGGGAAGGCGCAAGATTATGAGAACCAAAATAGGTTCCAAACACAACTTTATGACTTCTGATGGCTTTTGTGCTGGAGAGTCACACATCCATCTTTCATTCTCTTAACCACTTATCCTCACTAGGGTTACGGCCGTGCTGGAGCCTATGCCCGCTGTCTCGAGACAAGAGGCGGGGTGCAACCTGAGTTGGTCACTTAATCGCCGGCACAAATAGACAAACAACCATTCACACACACAATCACACCGATAGTCACTTTAGAGTCTCCAATTAACAAAACACATTTTTGGAATTTTGTAGGAAAACCCAAACACAAAAAGAGCTTGTAAACTCTACATACAAAGACCGGAGCCAATCAGGCAATCAATGACTCGACTGCATATGGTAGATTATTTTCTGGACATATCGGACAGGGTTTGATGGGGCTCACCTCCTGAGATTCAATTATAAGAAGATTCATCCAAGTTTTCAGGGATGGTGGTCACCGATCACTGTGTGATAGCTTTGTGACAAATCATCTGTTATAATGAAGTCATGAAGTCAGCATAATCAACAGATTGGCCACATTGAGTATTAATCTGAGTCAGGTTACACAGCAGGCCATCTGTATGTGACACAGCTCTCACTCTTCAAAGGAAATCAATGCGCAATGTGTATAAGAGACCAGACATGGTGTCTTTGGGTGGTCCCCACCAATCAAACACTTACACACACATGCACACATATCAGATTTCTTTCTTTGAACATGTCATCCCACCCAACACATGTTTTTCTTATTCATTTATTTAGACAGAGATTTAATTTCAAATAGTGTAATTCAACAAACATTGAATTCACATAATATGATCATTGCAAAATAAAGAAATATATATATATATACAAGTAATTGTTATAAATAAATATATAAAAATGATGACTATTTCATATACCGAATTTCTTGCCTTATTTCCTGGTGCAATATAAAATACCAGACAGATACAGTAGTCAATTGGATGGATGGATATCTAAGGAGATAAAAAGAGAAGTTTTTGAATTTGTATTTATTGAGTGATGTAGTCTGTCTAGTCAGACAATACCAGATGTGATAATTTAACTTAATTGGTAGCTGCTTCACAATTGGACCCTGTGAGTCATTGTAGAAATCAATTCATTGAATGCATTTTTTTTTCTTCTGATCCATCCATCATCTGACCCGCCTATCCTTAGAAGGGTCTCACAGGCGTGCTGAAGCCTTATCCCAGCTGTCTACAGACAGTTGTTGGGGTACATCCTGAACCGGTTGCCAGCCAATCGCAGGGCACACACAGACGAACAACCATCCACGCCCACACTCACACCTAGAGACAATTTGGAGTGCCCAACCAACCTGCCATGGATGTTTTTGGAATGTGGGAGGAAACCGGAGTACCCGGAGAAAACCCACGCAGGCACGGGGAGAACATGCAAACTCCACACAGGAAGGCCGGAGCCAGAATCGAACCCTGCAGAACAGTGCAGAGGACTGTGAGGCCGACGAACTAACCAGTCCACCACAGGGGCACCCACTACTACTAATTATTCTTATTCTTATTCATATTCTTCTTATTATTATTACTATATGTTTTATGTAAAAATATCAATAAAGTGCACAAACTCAGCAGTACACGCCTTCGATTGCCATATGTTTAGCATCAAAAATCGGCTGAAATGTCATCCTGTCTACTCAAAACACCCCAGCATTCAGAAATTGCACTTTACCAAGGAGATCAATAAAATCTTGTTTCAGGATCTCCGATTGCTGCTTCACAACACTCAGGGCTCCTTTGTGTATGATAACAGATCTCATTCAAGCGATTTTGATTTTCTCAGAGATATCTGACACGGTGTCATTGGTAACATATAGCACTTCGGTGTTCTGACTGCAAACCTGTTTTGCATAATTTGCAGACATGTCATACTATGCAGCAAGATGAACGGAAGTTCTGACATGGCAGACTTTCGTCGTCATCATTGAGTATGTCACACTCCATGGATTATGACATGTCTGAAAACTCAAAATTGGATACGAGACTCTATGCTTGAGACATGCCTGATGGCTCAAAATGGGGCTACATTTGTGCAGTCTGACATGGGTTTTACGGCATCTCTGATTGGCTAGGCCTGGCAGTTAATTTATTACACGAAATACAATAATGGAAAATAATAGGCACATTTACGTGTGAAAAGCCATGGTAATTAAACGATATTTTTTCAATATTTGAATAAAATCTCACCCCTTTACTGGGTCAACAAGCACACGATAAATCCACAAGATCCATGTGGACTATAATAGTCATATGGTGAAATAGAGCGTAAGCAGCGAGCACAACAAAAATTCCTTGTTAATATCTAATGGTGAACCCGTCGATGCGTTTCATTCTGTTCATTATCTGCAATCGAACACGGGTTTTAGCAACCAGTAAAGCGTTCTAAAAACAGATCGAAAAAGCTTTTACTTTGTAAAACAGAAACCACAGGAAGTGTCCTTTTCCGATCGACGTCAACTTGGTCTGTACTAAAATCGACCAGACGGTGATGGAAAGAAAGGAGGGATGCCAAGAAAAGGAAAGGGTGGGAGAGAGAAGCGGAAAGCGCGACAGAAGAATTTGGCACCACAGAGAATTGGACAGTTATAAAATTGTGATCATCTGAAACACGATTTTTGGTTATTTGACGCGGGGTTACATTTGCCCAAAATTGAGCGGCTCCTATTGCTGCTGCTGCTGCTGCTGCTGCTGCTGCCATTGGCAGACATCGGTGGGGTTCAAGGTAAGTAAATAAACGCCATGCCTCCATGCATACGCCTTCATCTTATTTATAACGTCCAAAGCCCACATTTTGCACCAGCGAAGGTGCACTAGGAGAATCTGAAATGTGCTGAGTTTGACGCAGTAGCGTCACAACTCGGGCAGAACCTTCACAGCATTAGTTTTTTTTTCCTCAGTAAAAACGCGTTTATGGTCCAATGGATGTTGCTGAACGCCGTTTCAAACTTAAAAAAAAAACAGTTAATGCATGCATGCGCACACAGACAATGCAGATCAGCTAAATGTAACGTCTCCAATTGAGAAACCTGATTGATGGGACATGAGTCATTATACGTACAGTAATAATTTGCCGTTATTTTCTATTAATAACTCTGGTGGAGAACTATTTGGCAGATTTTAATGAACTAAGGTTATTTATGCCGAAGCACGTTTGGGGACTAATTATCTTCCGCTTTAAGTCAGTTTTCAGCAGGTCATGATCATTCTTGTCATGCTATCATATTTATTTACAGGTCATTCCATCTAATATCAGCTTGGCCGTTTTTTGAGTGGCTCCCATTATTAATTTTATTACAGTTCTTAAAACAACAACAACAACAACAACAAAATAAAAGACCCAAGACTTCAAGCCAACAATACAAAAATGTTAGAAACTCACGGACTCTGTTAATTTGATGTAATCTTTAATCTCTATTGTTGACAAAATCCTATTCTTAAACTGTGGTTATTTGTGAGCCACCCTTAATGTCTTGATTAATACAGGTGTCCACCACTAATAAGTTGGGGAACACACATTCTACATGTTTTCACTTTGATGTCTGCTCATAAGTTGAAAATTCTTGAAATCAAACAATTCACTTAGTTTGACATTTGGCACTCTATTTGGAAAAACAATATATCACACTTGTTTTATCTTTGTTACAATTTTGTATCATAAATATGATGATTTGACAAATATTTTTGCATTAATCAGCAATAAATACAGAGCTGAACAAAGGCATGAATCAACTAAGCACATGCTTAGGGCCAAGAGACCACAAAGCGAACCTCAAGATTAATTAACATTCACAAAGGTTCATGACTGGAGAGGCTTTCTCCTCTGGAGTCAGAAATAAAAGTACTGTAATTTTTGGACTACAGCGCACACTTGCTGAATTAATTTGGACATATATTCAGAGATGAAAGTCCTCCGGATTTTCCCGGAATTCCGGGTTTTTCAAATTTTTATGAAAATTTCTCTGGAGAATTGAGGAAAATTTGCATAAAATTAATCCGGATATTAGTTGACAACATTGAACGAAGACGCGTTTGAGTTAGTTGTATTGCTTTCACGAGCGTAGCCATATTGAGGCACTAACACTAGTAACAGTAAAGAGATTTTTGTTTGTGTAATAACGACAGAAGACATGATGGCGTTTGACTAATGGTTTAGTAGAACGAATGGCAACTCGCAACAACAGTAGCAAGCGTCATTTTGCCTCTTGGGTTACACCATCTCAACTAGAATGTGGGGGATAGTCCCCAAAGAATTTTCGTCTCTTTATAAACACACCTGCTAAACCCCAGTGGAACGAATAAAAGACGCCGTGGACAAGACAGTTGTCGTAAAAAATATATTTGGCCAAAAAGGGAAAAACACAGATTGGCAGAAAATCGTTTCCGTCCGACTTCGAGTGTCGTCTCGGCGAACTTAGCTTAGCTGTTGTTGTGTGTGACGTCATTTGCGTCGACGCTGATTGGTTGAAATCAAAAGACGCGCTTGCGTACATGTTCGCGCTGAAGCACGCACATCAGAGAGCAGCGGACTATCTCCTGCTGAGGCTCGCTTAGCTTGAGTGGCGTCGCCACGACAGTAATACCCTCGCCTCGCATTCTCATGGCCTCGCCATATCTCGGAGATTTCGAAATTTCGGCCCGAACGGAAGCCACAAAGGGTACACGTGTGCGTAACAAAAGGAAGATTAATCATTGAATGTGGAGTATTTGAATAGCGTTTTGTGTAAACTAATTCATGCGTGATCGGCCAAGTGCGATATATATTTATTCCGGAATTTTCAGAAAAGTCCACTTTCATCTCTTGTTTTTTTTACAACTTTTGCTCTATTTACCTTACACACCAGTAGACGTTTTTCCCCCCCAAAACCTTTCTCAGTCTCTCTTGATGTCACACAAGGAAAATTAGAAGACGTACTTGTCCAGTCTTCCTCAACACACAGCACTGCAGTCTTTGGAAATCTATTTGTCACGTTTGTGAGACGGGCAGGGGATTTCGCTCCATGTCCAGAGTTGCCAGCGGAGGTGGAAATCGGTAGCCAAACAAACAACACAGATACGGGCATCACTTTGCAGAGATGACTATATTTATGGCACTCCTTCCCTTTGTTTATTCATTTCAACTCAAGATTCTTATTTTTGCTCTCAATTTCTCTCGAAACAGCTGTGCCCCGCTACGCACGCCAAACTTTCACATTTCTTTCTCTCCGCTGGCCTGCCCCTCTCTCATGCTTGCGCAATCCAACCACAAATGGCTGATGAGTAATCAGTCTGAGGGCGGAGTCAGGCAGTTTGGTACACAGTGGTTGAATCTCTTGGTGGCTTGAAACTTGTAAATCAAAATTCAAAATAAAATCGCATCACATTCAAAGCAGCAGGTTTGCAAAGCGTGGGAGAAAAAAAAGTAGTCCGGTATCATCCACAAAATACAGAATGAGCCCAAAATACAAGATCAAGCTTTATTTCAGTTTTGACCTTCATTAAAACATGTTTCAAATATCGTATTTTCCGCACTAAAAGGCGCAGCTGATAGCCTTCCATTTTCTTAAAAGCTCACAGCGCTCCTTAAAATCTGGTGCGCCTTGTTTATGGTCATTACGGTAATATGTCAACCCCAAAATTACTCCTTGCTAGAGACATGCTTACAACGCAGAGTTCAAACTTAAGGCGATCGGTTTCGCAGTTGAACACGGAAATAGAGCAGCGGCAAGAGAGTTCAACGTTAACGATTCAATGTTATAACTTGCTGTTGGTTAGGTGAACTGTGTCGCTGCTTTATTAAATAAGTTTTACTGACATCTGATCGTCGCTTTAAAAATCAGGGTTTAATGTAGTGTAGTGTTCTGTTGGCATTTCCTTGAGCGTAGCTCCATCTAGTGGATGCACTGTAGATTGCATCTTATAATGCGGTGCGTCCAATATCTGAAAACAATTACAAAATAGGCCATTCATTGAAGGTGCGCCTCATAATCCAGTGGACCTTTTAGTGTGGAAAATACGGTAATGTAAAAATGTATTTATTATTTGTTTTCAAAGCTTTTAATTACAAGTCAAGTGTTCCACACCCGTTTAATATTTCAATGGAAAGAAAAACAAAAGAATATTTCATATAAGTTCAAGTTCATTGTTGGGTTTTTGTTTTTTTTTCTTTTTAACTGCAGATCTCTCTGTCCCAATTATAAAATGACATAGGTGCCAAAAATTGCACGTCTGATGGGTCAAACAAACCAAGTTATGATGAATTTATTGGAGCCAAACACGTTACCTGAAAAAAATGAATGATAGAGCTTGCTCGGAACTCCCGGTTCAAGTCTCATGCCCACAAACAGCCGAGGCTTCCTCCTGTGGTTATGTATGTCAGTGCACTTGTTCTACGCATTGCGCCAATGGAGTGCAACACTGCCACATGCTGGCAGCGACACGGTGTATTCTGGACGTACAGTTTGAATCGCTTTTCTGGCTGGAAGAATGACTGTCACACTCATTCATTCAATATATTACACTGTTAGACATCAGAAGGTGCAGTACATCCATCCATCCGTTTTTAATCCTCGCGGGCATGCTGGAGCCTATCCCAGCTGCCTTTGGGCAGTGGATGGCATCCACCCTGAACTTGTTGCCAGCTAGTCACAGGGAATATACTGTATAGACAAACAACCATTCGTGCTCACAATCACAATCAGGGACAATTTTTGAGTGTTCAGTCAGCCTGTCATGCATGTTTTTGGAATGTGGGAGGAAACTAGAGTACTCGAAGAAAACCTACACAGGCATGGGGAAAGCATGCAAACTCCACACAGGGAGGCCGCAGCCGCAGTCGACCACCGTTTCATCCATGTGCAGTACATGTGACGTACTGCACGTAATTGGCAAAGTAGTGAGGAAACACCAAGGTTTACGATATCAGGCCAATAACTGCCTGCTTTAATTGAGGTGTGTGTGTTTGCTTGAAGCACAAAGGGAGCCATGACTCAGGTGACTCTCGCAGCTGCTGTTCCCATGCATTTGAACAGGAAATATGCAAATTCAGCTATTTTTTATGATGAAATCACTTCCATTCTTATTAGATAAATCTATGTAAAGCACAGACTATAGTACTAAAATATGGACGAAATGTAATTTAATACTAAATTGTTGTTTTTATAATCTTCACATGAAGGAGAAAGGAAAGAACACCAGGGGCTAGCAATGAGGCACTGCCTCCCTTGCCTACCCTGACCTCTAGTCCCTGGTATATATACATACGAAATATATGTGTATACATATGTATAGATAGATAGATAGATAGATCGATAGATACTGGGGGTGTGCATCTCTCCAATAAAAGAGCATTCGACCTCGATATATGTGGTGTGGTATGATTCAAGGACTGTACGTTTTAAAGTGGGATGATTCAGTTCGATTCGATCTGATCTTAGCTTTCAAATTGAAGCCAATGTTCCGTTTCTAATCAGTTTTTGTTACACCCCGAATATATACAGTACATCAGTGGAACTTCAAGTTACTCACTTAATAGTTGTCCATTTCTATTTAAATTCATTGGTTCGTCTGTGTGTGCCCTGCGATTGGCTGGCAACCAGTTCAGGGTGTCCCCTGCCGACTGCCCGCAGACGACTGGGATAGGCTGCAGCACCCCCCGCCATCCTTGTAAGGATAAGCGGATCGGAAAATGGATGGATAGATGGATTTTGGCAAACCGCTCCAAGGAAACTTTTCTTCTGTTCAAAAAAATTTCATAAAATGGGACACCGCATTATCCTTTAAAAATGAAAGGGGCCATTGATTGGGCTGAACATTGGCACTAATGTAATGTTTGTTTGTAAAAATGACATGTGATGCCAGAACTAAAATTCACCCCCCCAAAAATACTCAGTTGTGATTTAATGTGTTTTTTTTTTTTTTAATCACTACATTCAAGCATATCTTAATGACGGCTGTTATTTATGGGCGGGGACTGCTTTTTTTCACAATTGAAGGAAGGAGGCAAGCATTCCAGTACCGTTTTCTGGCTTGCTTTGCCACATTCTGTTGTCACCTAGTACAGTATCTGAAAACAGTGACTAATCATCACCAAAATTCATATGCACAGCTGAACTCATGTCCGCTGGCGATGTTGCTGAGCAGAATTGCGCGGTTTGAGAGGAGTTAGTAATTCACTTATTTCTCCAAAACAAACCTTTAAAAAATTGCATTGAAAATGTAACCTATTTTCATTTTCCTGATCAAAAGGTTTTGGAGTGAAAAATGGGTCTTCTTGGCCTGATGGTCCCTTTAATGTTTAAGATCATCAAATAAATGTAAATAGTTTAGGGTGTACCCAGCCTCTCGACCAGACAGCTGGGATAGGCACGAGCCCACGACCGGAGTGAGGATAAGAGAATGAATGGGTAGATGGATGACTCAAGTAAAAATCAAATGCTGTTTTGAAATGTTGATTTTATTTATAATGGGGGCGGGGGGGGGGGACTATTCACAGTTACCTGCTTCTACAGTTCCGTATTTTCCGCACTAAAAGGCGCACTGGATTATGAGGCGCACCTTCAATGAATGGCCTATTTTGTTATTGTTTTCATAAATTGCACTCACTGGACTATAAGGCGCAATCTACAGTGCCTCCACCAGATGGAGCTACAGGTACGTCTTTGTCCATCTCAGTGCATTCTCTTCTTCCTTAGACTTGAGAGGCGTTCATGACCGCCTCCAAAAAACGTAAATTAACAATTACTTCAACGAAACTACGAAAATTGAAAATGCAGTCATGCATCAAAACAGAAAATCATTAAAAAAATTCTATAGCCCCCCCGACAGAATTCATTTTGGCATTTCCTTGAGCGTAGCATTTCCTTTGTTGTGTACTGTATTCACAAACGAGGAAATCACAAAATAAATTCTGTAGTGGGGCTATACAATTTATTTTGTGATTTCCTCGCTTGATTTTCTGTTTTGATGAATTATTTTCAATTTTCGTAGTTCTATTGAAGGAATCGTCAATTTACATTTTTCCGAGGCGCTCATGAACGCCTCTCGAGTCGAACGGAAGAAGAGAAGGCATGGAGACGGACAAAGACATACCTGTATTTATTGCGACTGTGAAACCCATTAATAAAGTGTGCGTTTTAACAAAACAACACCACAGCTCTGCTTTTTTACTTATTTAATAAAGCAGCAACACAGTTCGCCGAACCAACAGCAAGTTATAACATTGTAAGCATGTCTCCAGCAAGAAGCCATCTTGGGGTCGACATATTACCGCAATGACCATACACAAGGCGAACCAGATTTTAAGGCGCGCCGTGAGCTTTTAAGAAAATGGAAGACTTTTCGGTGCTTCTTATAGTGCAAAAAATACAGTATTTATACCCCTAATCTTAAATCATGAATTACCCAAGTCTGATTCCCTCCAATCCTCTCCCATCAAGAAATGACTGAAATAGAACTTGACACAATCGCACCCACGTATAATACACATACACACATATTCATTTCTTGCATTCGACTAATATTTTTGTTCTCTTTTTAGGCATAAACGGGATCCACCGATGAGATAGTCAGAAGACTTACACGGCACCTAATCTCTTCATGAAGTGGATCAAGATGATGGAGCCTTTTTTGACCCTACTGGTCCTCAGCTCACTTACACTCAAAGCTTTTGGCAAGTTCATTCAATCACACACGTGCACATCCTGTTCACACACGCTTTTGTTCCAAATTTCTTGAATGTATGTTTTTGCATACATAGATAAAAGTCAATCGTCAGGGGTACATATGACTATGACAGGGAAAGCAAGGGATTTGGTTGACATGACCATTAGGAGAAAGGCGGCCCGGTGGTCCAGTGGTGAGCGCGTCGACCTCACAGTGCAGAGGTAACGTGTTCAATTCCAGCTCCGGCCTCCCTGTATGGAGTTTGCATGTTCGCCCCGGGCCTGCGTGGGTTTTCTCCGGGTACTCCTCCGACATGCATGGCAGGCTAATTGATTACTCAAAATTGTCCCTCGGTGTGAGTGTGAGCGTGGATGGTTGTTGGTCTCAGGGTGTCCCCCGCCTACTGCTCGAAGACAGCTGGGATAGGTTCCAGCACCCCCCGCGACCCTTATGAGGATAAGTGGATCGGAAAATGGATGGATGGAAATATTGTGAGTCCAGGAGACCAGGTGCAAAAGCAGTAAGGGGAGACGTTCAAGTTTCCTGTCATAGTCCCAACATTGAAAGTCCCCACTTTCTTGGTCGTTTGCAAACCACAACAATGATAGGGTTTCTGTTGGTGGGGCGTGCCTCCAATTTGGAGAATAAACTCAGGCTGGTCTGTCCTCACCAAGCCTTGTTGCATGAATTGATGAAGACTTTTCGGATGAGAGGGGAAATATCTTCTAAGACAAACAGAGCAGTCCAGTTGTGATTGATTCAATGCCCTGAGAAAGAAATGACCTGGATGAATGAGAATATCCACCAGCACATTTTCTCATCCAATAGTCAGTCAACAACCAAGGGATGAACATGTGGTTAAGGCTTCTTTAAACTGAATCCCTAACAAGCAAATGTACTGTACCCTGCATCAGGAGGCCAAAAGTCACTCGGTGAACTGATGAGAGCAAGACATGTCAAAAGAAGAAAGTACAAAAAAATGGGAGATGAGGAGCATCATGGTGTGGAGCTCGGGCTTTGAAAGCAATCAACATCCAGTGCAATTCCAGACTCGGGCAAATTATGTTAATGAAGATAAAATCATGCTTATTCAGTTTGCCCTTGGTAAATGTTAAATACTTGGGGATTTCTTTTTTTATTGTCATATATTCTAAAATAATCATTTATTTTAAAGGTTAATGTCGCACTGACAACTGTTTTCATATTGTTTCTTGAAAAGTAGTGCAATAAAAACACAGATGTTTTCCCAAACATGATAAATAATTGGGTTTATTATTTTGGCCATAATCATGCAGTACTACACCAAACTCACTGCGAGATCATTCATCATGTAGCAAGAAACACACTATCAGTTCAAAACAATTAGTTCATCCGGGGCATTAAGTGGAATGTTTTAGACTTAAACCTAATAGAGCACAGGTGTCAAAGTCAAGGCCCTGGGGCCAGATCCGGCCCACCACATCATTTTATGTGGCCCGCAAAAGCAATCCATGTGTCAACTTCCTTGATCCTTGCTAAAGTCTCGACTGAGATGTAAAATTGTGATTGTGTAATAAATAAGGTTGTCATTTTGTTCATTTTGTTACCCTGTTTACACTCACTTGAACAATAATCAAACAACAAACAAATATCGTAAATTCTGGGCTACAGACCGCACCTGATTAAGAGCCGCATGCTCAGATTTATGAAGAAAAATCAATTTTGTAATTATATGCGCCGCACCGTACTATAAACAGCTGGCCAATGGGTAGGCAGGGGTTTGCTTCTGCGTCCCTGCCGCCGGGAGCGCCTCCGGGTGAGGCCGCTGACGCGGTCCCCCGCTGAACCCCCCAGAAAAATAACATGCTTTTTCTCTCAAATATATTGTAAGAATCATTTGTTTCAGATGTACTGTAATTATTTTCTGTACAAAAATTAATATGGTGGTCAAAAAGTCTTTTTTCAAACTTGAGTCTTGAAAAAGAGAGGGTCGTCTTATAATCAGGGCCGTCTTATATTCGGGCCAATACGGTAAATATATCAAAGTGTAAACTTCATTCATGGATGGTATCCCCATAACATAGCCAAAAGCAGGCACGCCAGAACTCACTCGTCCGTATCCACGCCGTTTTTCACATATCCGCTCGTTTTCCACAGATGGTATTAGAGTTCACTGGCAAGTGAAGGTCATGTTGAAATTGGAGAAAAACGAATCATCCAGGACATTTTACTTTCTCTTTCCATTTACAAGACTGGCAAATTGCTCAACCATGACCCAAGATTTCCCAGAACACCGGACGTTGTGCAAAAGGACCAGGAGGAAACGCTAAACAATGACAGCCAGAAATGTTCCCAATGGCAGCAGGTAAACAGCTTCCAAGTGGTGATTCCGAGAAGTGATTTTTGTTTGGAAATAAAAGGCAACCTTGGTAATTTACGGCACAAGAGATTGAAAATGTCTGACAGTGCGTTTGCAAATGCAGAGTGACAGGTCTAATCTATTGGGGAGACGATGCTGAGAGTGAGTGTGACTCCACCTCACCTTTAAATCAGGAAGATCGGGAAACAAGGGATGAGCGCCCTGCGTCAGTGTTTTGGATACGGCACTGAGCACACGAGGTAGGTCGCATTTGCGAGAGTCTGCACCGATGTAAACCCTCTACACAAAAATGTAGAGGGTTGTTTGAAAAAAATGCAGACCGTAAAGTTTTTTTTCGACGTAGAAATTCTCAGTCGGTCGGGTTACCAGAAACACACTCCTTTTTTTTTCTACGCCTTACGGGCATCAGCTCGATTTCCTTCTTTAACTGCCAGAGTGATCGCTTTTAGGTTAAAAGCTGCATCATATGCTTTTCGTCTGGTATTCTCCATGTTGATCAGGGTTAGAAGAAAGACTGAAATAAGGAAGTTGTGATTACCGGTAATCATACAATTTCATTGGACCCCTGTGTACTACTCATTCATTTTATTGGTCGACTGTTGTCGAGTAACACATTCCCCCCCCGCTACGGCAAAAAGAGTGGAAGTTGTGATTAGTTATACAATCTCATTGGACCTCAGTGAAATACTCATTCATTTTATTGGTCCATGTTTTTCCCGCGATGGAAAAAAAAAAATTAAAAAGCCGCTTCATATTACACGCCGCAGTGTTGGAAGTGTGGAAAAAAAGTAGCGGCTTGTAATCCGGAATTTACAGTAGCTGTTTTTAAGATGCGTCACAAGGAAGCAGTGACAGGTTTGACCAAGGCTGAAGTGACAGCCGAAACTGTCAGCAAAGTAAGTTTTTCTCTTCACCAAAAGAGATTAATGTCATGAAAAAATAAACTTGAAACCTAAAACAGATAGTTGACTTGAGTGATGACAAAACTAGTAATCCATCAATTTGTGGTGTACAAGTAATAACACAATGAGATGATTACATTTACATTTATAGACATAACTCCAAAGTGGACCGCGACAAAACTCAGTTTGACACCCCTGCTTTATTTAAAGCATACTAAAAAAAGGAGACCAAATGGAGTAACTCATGCTGTGAAAGCTTGGGAAACCAACACTAGGGAATAATGTAAAAGTTTGGTGATGTTAGTGAATCACAGGCTGAATGCATCTCTTGCCTCATCCAGCTAATTACCATTTTAGGCCTAATTCTTATGTGCCTTAACAGGATTGTGAGACTTTTTTTCAATCAGTGTGTGTGTGTGTGTGTGTGTGTGTGTGTGTGTGTGTGTGTGTGTATGTGTGTGTGTGTGTGTGTGTGTGTGTGTGTGCGTGTGTGTGCGTGTGTGCATGTGTGTGTGCATCTATTTGCAGGTGGAGAAGTATGTGTCTCTGGTCATGATAGCGGGCCAGTCTTTGAAGAACAACCAAGCAGTTTAATTTACCCAGAAGGGCTGAGTGAAGGGGAGGTAGTTCTCAGCTGTCAGGCCAGGGCAAGTCCAGCTGCATCCTACAGGTGGGTAATACCGTTCCAGTCTAGCCGACAGTATTGTCTTGGTTTTGACTCATGTTCACCCTCAGTAATCTGCAGTTATGTAACCCCCAGTACGACTTCTTGCTGTTTGATTTCAGTGAAGAAATCTCCCAAGAACCATAATTAAAATGACCGATTTACCATACAGGGGGTCCTCGCGAGTGATGGGTATATTTTTGATACTACTACTCCAAATGATATTGCTTTTGTGGAATACTGTTGAAATTGGATTTTTTGCCAGTCATCATCATGGGCCAGGAAATCTTTGCAGTCCCAGAACACACGTTATCCATTGTATTGATAGATAAATGGCACAATCATCATTGGCATTTCAATCACAGTGTGATTATCTGTTTGTGCCTGATTGGGAGCACCGTCTGGTATGGCTAAAGAGGCCGATCCGGGAGTGACAGTCCCTGTTGCAGTGGATGCACCTGA